ACTTTTAAATTTATAAGATTATGAGGAAAGGCCATGCTTTTGCTAAATTAAATAGACAGTTAATCCAAAGTTTGTAAACTGCACACATCCGGTTTTTTTAACATGTCATTTAAATATATTTAAAAACTCACACACAAACACAATTTAAAAAAAAATATTTCTTTTACATCTGAAATAGTACTTAAGACACGATAAAAATACTGAGTACGCCGTAATTCTGTATTATTTTTCTTGATAAATATTAGTGTTATTATTCTAGGTTGTTTGCAGACAGCACAATCAGAACAAAAAGTTTCAAAGTATTTTTAATCCTCATCAACTGTGTCAGTGTCATCAACAGTTTCAGTGTCATCATCCTTGTCAAGGTCAGCACATGCTTTAATGAACTGAGGGGATTGCTCATAGAATTCTTCCACTTCAATGACTCCGCTTTCTAAATCGAAATGATGTAAATTAATACGTGTATTAGATGTGTCATTAAATACAATTTACAGGCAGAAATGTTGTAGAAATCGTTCCTTTTTGTTATGAATAAATAAACTTATCCTCTTTTTTTTCTTTGATTCGTGTTGATTGTTTTAAAGAAATGTTTACATTTATAGTCTGCATGCATGGAAACAATTACTGTTGTATTGGAGTTGTTTTTATTTTATTTCTTTTAAATCCTCAGTAAATGATTAGTTATTTACTTTTAGTTTTAAGCTTTCATACATTGTTTCTGACTTGCTTATGGACACAAGTGTGTACTTTATTATATCATTATAATATTTCTATGACATACACCACTGCATTTGACACAAGTCTATTTAGAAGTTAATGTTTTACGTTCTTGTAAATTTCAAGATAGTAAAGCTCAAAGTAAGTAAAAAATAATATTTACAAACCGTTTTCATCCAGATCCAGGAAAAGATTAAGTCCTTTTTTTTTCCCAAATATGCTTTGCTTTTTCCCCTATAACTTTTTATCATTTTATCACATCGATGTGATAAACGCATGGTCAACAGAAGTGAAACATTGAAAATTTTGGGTTTGCCGAAATTTTTTAACAATACTGATACAAAAGTTGTTCTAAACAAAATAAAAAAATGTCATAAAAAAAAGTTTAATCTAAGCGCGTATAGATACAAATTAATTGTATTAATTCTTCTTAAAAAAAATATAATCTTTAAGGGGTTTTGAAAAACCCCCTCATTTTTAATGCATTTTTTTTAAAAAAAATAATTCATTTTTTCGATTTAAAATACCCTACGATGGGATTGTCGTTTGTGAAAATATCAAAATGAAACGAACAATAAATTTCAGTTATGATCTTTGTTTGCAATTTATACTATAATTTCTCCCTTTTTAAAATATCAATATGATTGTTTACAATACAACATAATTACGTTATTGATATATTGAGCCAACAAATTTAGTCGGGTAAATAAAATGTGAACTCTTACCGAACCAACACCCCTTTTGAAACGCCACCCTACAGAGACTCCGACGCCCCAGTTTCCATTTCCACTTACACTTCCATGAACTGATGTTTCCCAATTACTTCCCGTCCTTGTCCAAGATCCGGACAGACTCGGAACGCCATTGTTTATATTAGCACCTGCTCGAAATTGGTCGTTATATCGGGCATTAGTTGACACGCAACATGCTAATAGAATAGCTGATATTAAAAGTATCATATTCTGAAAATAAAACAAATCGCTGTGAATAACGATACTGTTAGGATAATAAGAAAATACGTAGAGATGTTGTAAATTTATCATATCTAAAAGTAATTATTGTACATCGTTCTTATAAACATAATTCTATGTATAAAGTATTATTTATATAATGGTGATTTGAACATTCCTATAAGTAATTAATAATATGTTTGTTTTTTTTTAAATAATTAATTAATTAATTAATCTATTAATTAATTAATTAATTAATTAATTAATTAATTAATTAATTAATTATCTATTTTGTAAATTGTACAATAAATCTTGCTTTTGTTTGTACAGTCCTACGCATAAACCCTTCCAGCCTGCTGAATCTCAGTAAGGGCTTATCAGCTAGTAAATCACTATTAACTGTATATCTCCCATTAACACGTCCACTGAGTTGAGAGTTTTGTCATTATTTATTGCCCCTCTGTATTCTTATCTAAATGGCCCCAACTTTGAAGGATCAAATTTCTATAGAAGATACACTCACTAAATTTATCAATGTTTTTTTCTCCTTTCTTTTGTAAATGGGTCTGTGGCCTAATTGAATTGTGAAACTTAGCAATTATTTGTAAATATACTTTATAACATAAATTATGTTAATAATAAATAAAGTTCAATAGTTAAGTGTCACTGTTACTCATGTTACTGACTGAACCCCCCTCCCGGCTCGCTAAAAAACAAAAACAAAAAACTGTTTATAGATGTAACTTTTACTGCAAAGTGCAAGACTCCTAACTAAAATGATCAGGTAAGTATTAGCTCGACTATACTAAGAATGTGGTGAGTTGTCCTACTCACCTCGGTTTGCAAGTCGACGTCAGCGTCCATACTTTAAATTAATGTTTATGCGCCTATAACTTCTTTATTTCTTAAGGTATCAATTTCAAATATACATGTATATTCCTAATCATCATTCACATCATTTGATAAGGTGCAAAACTCTGAAACCAGTATTTCCAGAACTATATCCCATGAACTTAAAATAATGTTATATTTTACTCTAACATCTTCATTTCATATTAAAGTATTGACTTTAAACTTCAAACATGTGTTCCTTATCATCAACTACATCATATGTGACCATGTTTTTTTTACTCTAACACCAAATTTTCCAGGATTATCTCCCCATGAATTTTTTTCCTCTCAAAAAATGTTACTTTTACTTTCTTTTTTATTAGCTCACCTGTCACAAAGTGACAGGGTGAGCTTTTGTGATCGCTTTTCGTCCGGCGTCCGGCCGTCCGTCCGTCTGTCCGTAAACTTTTGCTTTAAATGACATCTCCTCATAAACCACTGAGCCAATTTCATCCAAACTTCACAGGAATGTTCCTTTGGTGGTCACCTTTAAAAATTGTTCAAAGAATTTAATTCCATGCAGAACTCTGGTTGCCATGGCAACCAAAAGAAAAAACTTTAAATATCTTCTTTTAAAAAACCATAAGAGCTAGAGCTTAGATATTTGGCATGAAACATCTTCTAGTGAGTGTCTACCAAGTTTGTTCAAATAAAAGCCCTGGGGTCAAAATTGGTCCCGCCCCTGGGGGGTCATTGATTTTCCCTATATGCATATAGTAAAAACTTAAAAAATCTTCTTTTAAAGAACCGTAAGAGCTAGAGCTTAGATATTTGGCATGAAACATCTTCTAGTGAATGTCTACCAAGATTGTTCAAATAAAAGCCCTGGGGTCAAAATTGGCCCCGACCCAGGGGGTCATTGATTTTCCCTATATGCATATGGTAAAAACTAAAAAAAAATCTTTTTTTAAAGAACCATAAGAGCTAGAGCTTAGATATTTGGCATGAAAGATCTTCTAGTGAATGTCTACCAAGTTTGTTCAAATAAAATCCCTGGGATCAAAATTGACCCTGCCCCAGGGGGTCATAGATTTTCCCTATATGCACAGGGTAAAAACTAAAAAAAAATCTTTTTTTAAAGAACCATAAGAGCTAGAGCTTAGATATTTGGCATGAAACATCTTCTAGTGAATGTCTACCAAGTTTGTTCAAATAAAAGCCCTGGGGTCAAAATTGACCCTGCCCCAGGGGGTCATAGATTTTCCCTATATGCATATAGTAAAAACTTAAAAAATCTTCTTTTAAAGAACCCAAAGAGCTAGAGCTAAGATATTTAGCATGAAACATCTTCTAATGAGTGTCTACCAAGTTTGTTCAAATAAAAGCTCTGGGGTCAAAATTGGCCCCGCCCCAGGGGGTCATTGATTTTCCTTATATGTGTATAGCAAAAACTTAAAAAATCTTCTTTTAAAGAACCCAAAGAGCTAGAGCTAAGATATTTAGCATGAAACATGTTCTAATGGGTTTCTACCAAGTATGAACAAATAAAAGCCCTGGGGTCAAAACTGGCCCCGCCCGGGGGGGGGGGGTCATTGATTTTCCTTATATGTGTATAGCAAAAACTTAAAAATCTTCTTTGGAAAAACCCAAATAGCTAGAGTTAAGATATTAAGCATGAAACATCTTTAAGTAAATATCTACAAAGTTTGTTAAAATAAACGCCCAGGGGTCAAAACTGGCCCTGGCCCAGGGGTGACATTGTTGTTAACTATATGTGTATAGTAAAAACTTTAAAAATCTTCTTTTAAAAATGCCAATGAGCTAGAACTTAGATGTTTAGCATGAAACATCTTCTTATGGGTGTCTACCAAGTCTGTTCAAATAAACAAATAAAAGCCCTTGGGTAAAAATTGGCCCGGGGGTGGGGGTCCTATATACAGGTGAGCGACCTCAGGGCCATCATGGCCCTCTTGTTTCTTAAGGTATCAACTTCTAACTTCAAATATATTTCCTTAGCGATACATTGTCCTGATGTGGTAGGCATTTGTGCAAAAGTTATCATAAAAGTTTTTTATGCATGCCGGACATGAATGTGTATCTTCTCTTCTCGAATGAATGAATACCTTCAAACTATAAGTATGACCTTGACCTTGAAGGTAGGGATAGGGGTCTTAATCGCGACATGTCGTCTTGATGTGGAAGATATTAATGCCTAGTTATTTTGTAATCCTTTGATGCACGACAGTCCGGACACGAATGTGTGTAACTTTAAAGTCTAATTTTGATATAGTGAACTTCAAAATGGTAGTGTGACCTTGACCTTTGAGGTAGGGGCGTGATAAGTTGACGCGTAACACATCGTCTTGATGTGGAAGACATTTATCCTAAATTATTTTAAAATTCTTCCATGCATGACAAAGTTACATTCCGGACACAAATGTGTGAACCTATAAACTTTTATTGTGATAAAGTGAAACTTCAAAATGTTAGTGTGACCTTGACCTCTGAGGTAGGGACGTAATTCTTGGACGCGACACATCGTCTTGATGTGGTAGACATTAATGCCTAGTTATTTAAATATCATTCCATGCATGACAAAGTTATAGTCCGGACAGGAATGAAGTGGGGACGCACAGACAGACGGACGTCCATACAGACAGAGGGACGGTGCGATTTTAATATGCCTCCCTTCGGCGGCATAAAAATGTTTTTTTATCAACACCTATATGGGATTAGATTTATAACTCATTAGTCCTGTATTTCTAGAATTATCTCCATTTCATTTTTGAATTAGGGATTTATTGAAAATTAATATATTTCTAACAATTATCTTTATTATTATAAATGACATCAACTCTAGACTTAAGATAATTTTCCTTTGTCATTACTCACATCATGCATGACATGGTTTATAACTCTAGTATCCTTATTTCAAGAGATATTTCCTCTTTGAACTTAGAATTTTTCTTTAAAAACTTTATTTACATTTTGCTTGTATCATTTTGGTACCTTTTTTATAAAAAAAAATCACATTCATCTCTTTCCCCTACTAGATTGAATAATAAGCTTCAATAATGCTTTGAATCCATTATTATCATTACTAAACATTATTTTGCGCCTTCTGGAAAAAAAGAAAAAGAATGTAAATCACTGAGGTATGATATGCCTTTAATATGAAAGTAATTTACAAAATCATTTTCATTGTGAGTTGTAAGTGATTAAAAACCTTTTTTTTTTTTACTGTAATCCAATTTGTATTAGTCTTCTTTACACTAAAAAGTTAAATATTAGTTTTTCGTTACATCTAAAATGTTTTCTAGTCTTCCAGCTTAAACTATACATTCTTGAAACATGATAGGATCATAAAACATTCAATGGTGCTGCTATCAGTAATACAGTGACAAGCCGTGTAATTATAATTAAATGCTCATCACTGGCCAGAGATAGGAAATTTTGGGGAAAACTGGAAATATTGGGCTTGTGCGTAGGACTGTACACTAAAAAGTTAAATATTAGTTTTTCGTTACATCTAAAATGTTTTCTAGTCTTCCAGCTTAAACTATACATTCTTGAAACATGATAGGATCATAAAACATTCAATGGTGCTGCTATCAGTAATACAGTGACAAGCCGTGTAATTATAATTAAATGCTCATCACTGGCCAGAGATAGGAAATTTTGGGGAAAACTGGAAATCTTGGGCTTGTGCGTAGGACTGTAAGCAGTAATTGATCAATTATAAAATGAGAAACGTTTCGATATATAGGCTATTATGATGATGTTTTATTGTTATTATTGTTTTGTTGAAGCCCTGCAACAAAATTTAAAAAAACGCTTTTTAACATAATTAGTTTTGATATTACAAACCTGGCCAGTATCAATATTCCTTGAAAAAAGTGCATAACCGTTTCAAAGCGACAAAGTCTTTAAAGCAAAAGAATGTTGTGTTATGTGTATAATCTATATTTTTTTACTTTTACAACAATGACATTTTATGTACGATACTATGATTTAAGTATCCATTTTGATCATTTTAAGTGTATTATTATAGCATTATCTTTATTATTTTTATTATTTTATTATTTTATTATTTTATTATTATTATTATTATTATTATTATTATTATATTTGCCTACTTCAAGTCAAGTACCCTTCAATGTTATCATTTAGTATAAAATTTAACTTGAACAACTTCAAAAATCTAAAGAATTCGCCAGAGTGCAACCGTACAAAAATCTGGAAATAGTGTGATCTCTCGGAAGCATTACTCACATAAAATGAACATTGTAGAAATTTCGTAAGGAAATGTTGTAATAAAACGTTTTGTAAATACAGGGAAAGAAAAATGAAAATTCAAAGTTACGAAACGATTACTTACCATGATTTTTTTCTTCTATCAAGTAACGTTAAAAGCCAAACGATCTGTTTGCAATGGAATGTGAGTGATAGACAAAGGAACATGGGTCCTTTTATAATGAGTCTGGGTAAGGATTGCGTGATCAATGGTCTTTGCAAAGCAATCTGGGACAGAAACAAAGCGGCACATTATGTTTCAGGGCTTGGTCTGAATTTAAGGCTACACTATTTTGTTTGTTTGTTTAACATCTCTTGTTAATGTATGGATTCAACGATCTTATAAATATCTATTTTTATAAATAATTTGGGTTTAATTAATAAATGAATTATATTATATTATATGTTGATACATAAGACGATTGGATATAACTACCATAACGTTATGGTAGCTGACTCCAAAAGTTTAATTTTGCTAAGAAGGTCAGTCTATAAAACATTTTATTATTTTAAACAATACAGTTTAATGATTCTTATTTGTTTCGCCTTTTTTAAGTTTTTAGTGAAACATTTTTTATCCCTTTTAAACTTAGTAAATAAGTAAACAATATTTTTATAACCTTATATTTCAAAATAACCATTTCTGCAGATAGCATGACTATATTTTCTATTAAAATCTCTAAGTTTCATTATTTTCATAGCATTAATTTCGTGTTGTTTTTCTTACTTATATACAATTATATATTAATCATATTTTAGCTAATGACGTAAAGGGACATGGGACCCATCACTATTATACTTCGTGATGAAAAATCAGAACATAAAGGTTTACCTTTTTTAAGAAAGGAAATGAAACTGTTACAAAGAACAAACAACCCCACAAAAAATACATATTTCAGGTTCAAAAGTTATATTTGTGAATCTCAGATAGACATCTTCTTTGACAAAAATACACTTTTTCAATGCAGCATTTGGGATTTCCTAAAAAGTGCATACCTATTAAAACACGTACTTCCCGATCGTAAATGGGGACACTTATCAACGAACGACCGCGTGATCAAATGTGATCTTGTTTTTGATTTTTTTTGACATACAGTTTTTTAGGCATTGTATGTATTCAATGTCTTTCTTGTGCAAGGGTCCACATTACAAATATGTAAACATTTATAACGCTAAAAATAGAAAATGAGAACATACGCAGTAACCTTTTTTGTCGTATAATGAATAAGTACAATTTGACAGAAATTCTTACATTATATGTTTTCATCTTATTCATTACTAACAAATAATGGCATTGTCAAACGAACATTAAACGTATTTAGAAAACAAACACATTGATTGCTGTTTGATTATAATTATCTAACATAGTTACACAACAATACAAATATATGTTAACCTATTAACATGCTATTTAATAATTTGCATTATCAATTGAGAACAAGTATTTTGCAACTGTGTTGTAAGATCAGTCTGTACAGTCAATTGACCGGAAACCCTTGCAGTAAACTATATCTTCTGCAAGGTTTTCAACACAGGGCTTACTCGCAATCAAATACAAATTACTAATTTGAAATTGAATGTAGTAAATAATTTCTTTAATTGAAAAAATACAAAACGAATATACGGTTTTGCCCGGAGGAAAGGTTTTTACTGACAACAAAAGAACCATGACGTTTACGAGAAGGAAGCGTGATTGAATTAAAAATGTATGCCATCGATACAACTTCTAAAAAAAGTAATGTAATGTATATTTGTAACATTTAACTCTCGTGTATTACTTAACTAGGGTAGTGGTACAAATTAGTAATTATAACTATTTTCGTGTCGCAATGACAATTACAGTATTTGTGTTCCTGTTTTTAACAGCCAATGAAGAAGGTCTTCCCGGTTTAATTTCAGCGTATCATCTACATCTATCCGTGCTTTAATGGTTTTGAAAGGTTTGTATTCAAGTATTTATAGTATTGTTTTTAAATCGTTGTTTTAAAGTTATTTTTGGTGACTGTACTCTGTATGATTATTTAACGAATTGCTGAATAGGCAGGATTAATTATATTTTTTTTCCTCCTTGCATTTGAGCTGCATCTCCACAGTGTATGTCAGATGACATCTTTTTAAATTTAACAACTTGAAAGCGAAAAACTTAAGATTCCCCTTTGCATAATACATATAACGACTTTTCTGCCTTTTGTTGTTGTTGCTGTTTTTTTTAAACAGATACGTATCTTTAAAGAAATGTTCGTCGTTCTCCATTTAATGATACAATCTTGACTACTAGTATTATGATGAAAGTAATTATCACAAAAATGTGTTTTCAACTAAAGAAAAAGTCATTTTGTGTCAATCATTGCACGAGACACGCACGCTGTATAATTAAGAGTGTAGAAATGTTATGCTCCCTAAATGAATGTTGAATTAAAAATACACATTTAAAGAATTTCACTTTTACACAAAGGCCTGCGCATCTTTAATTAAACGTTAAACTTTACGATTTCAACATCTTTCGAAAAGGATCTTATCGTATATTGTTTTTAATCAAACAGAACTAATTTTCAAATTTATTAATCGTCTTATTACGTTTCTTTAACTAACATTTGTCGTCAGTTCTCAATAATATTGCCTTACTTTTAAAAACACGTAGTTGTTCATTTCTGATATTATATATCTCACTTGTTTATATTTCGGTTATACAAAATATAAATATACATGTATTAATATCGATTTTTATTTTATTGTGTTTTTTTTTATAAAGTAATTTCGCTATCAGTACCGGAGTGTTTTAAAAATACTGTACGATTATTGTGAAAGTCAAATACTAAGATTATATTTTTAAGTATGTTAGGTGCAATGCAATTGCAGAAAATATCATTCAATGTAAACTTAGCCACTGAAGATAGTGACAAAGATAAAAAAAGATTTAAAACAAACAATGTTAATTACAGCTAATCAGACGTGTAAATATGTAAGTTATCATGTTAATGGTATGCGTTGACGGGTTGTGAATAAAATAAAAAAGAAATAAACTTTAAATCAGTCGCGTTAATTTCCGTGTATTGAAAACGTACCTTCCTGGTATGATCTTTATTTATTTAAAATACATAAATTAATTTTTAATTATTTAATCAATTTATTTATATTTTTACAAGTCTTTGTTAATTTACTTTTTTATTTATATGTTTATTTATCATTTATCTATTTGGTTGGGGTTTACGTCACACCCACACAGTACAGGTCTCATGGCGACTTTCCAGCTTTATAGGTGTCGGAAGACCTCGGATGTTTATTTAATTTAAGCCCATTCTAACAAAATAGAGAAATACAGAATCCCTAAAGAAAGCCAAACACGACAAGATTGAAAATGTTGCAAGCTCGGTTTGATTGAGCCTGTTCATGGACGGTACTTGAAAGTGCAAGTTACCGTCCACGCCCCATAGCACCGGCTTAAGCAGAATTAAGTTGTATTGCTTTAACCTTTGGTCAATTACCATTATAAAAGTCAATCTTTTGAATTTCCAATTTAATTTTGCTCGACAACAAAAAATGGGCATAAAGTCGCTTTTATTTTTGTTTAATATGCATATACCTTTTAACGTTTCAAATCCAAAACACCTTTTAAAAAAACCGGAAAAGGTGCACAACAACAAAGAAAATCTGTTTAATTAACATATAATTTTATTATTCTTTTCGATTTACAGGAACCGCATGTCTTTAAAGTGCATTCATTTCTTTCAAAGCAAAACATAATCCCAGGCATAAATGAGTTGTGGAAAATGTGCTATTTTATAAAATATAAAATATTTTACGTGTAAAAGGTTAAGCTCTACTATGTTGACACAACACAACATTTTATTTGGAACTATAAATATCACGTTTCTTATTTCAAGTTTAAGTTACAGGAACTAAAGCCAAAGCCGATTTATCACTTGAAAGTAGCAAAATTGTTTTTGAAAGTTCCACATGTCTCTTTCTGACAGTCGTGCATTTTTTCTTTAGAAGCAAACGACAGTTTGATGAATATGTTATTCAGTAAATATTTAAGTGCTGGCTACTTTATCAACGTCATTGTAGACATATTTCTAAGCAAAATAAATCAAAAAGAGAAAAATGAATGCCTAGAGAACGTCATAAACAATAAAATTGAAAATATTGCAGGCTCAGTTTGATTTAGCTTGTTCATAGACGGTACTGGCAGGTGCAAGATCGAAAAGGGTTAATGCATCTCCCAGAAGGGGCTGACATTAAACTGTTTTGTAAGGGATGTGGGGTGGTTCATGACTCAAATATTTGACTGACTTTCAATACAACATATTAGGTTTATATCCGGATATGATGTAATTGCTAAATATAAGGACCAGAGGTCATGGACCCATATTCCATTTCTCTTGTGTAGGAAAGTTGAGAATGATGTTTGTGAATTACAAATTCTACATTCGATATTGATGTTTATGATGTTGATATGATTACAAATTCTACATTCGATATTGCCATGACAAGCAAAACATTACTTTCAATACACGTTATTTTACCTTATACGATGAACGAACATTGTTTTGTGATATAAAATTATTTTAATTCACTTAATAGCTACAGAGTTTTGGCATCTTTTCTATTTATAACTTTCTGTTTTCACCTTTGTACAAAACATACTTGAAAGTCAGTAACTGCAATCTCAATACTTTATTTTGTTTTAGAACTTTGAACTGAACTATGAATAATAATGTCAACGATTGAAATAAGAAACTTTCAAATATATATAATTTGTTCCTAGAATTACACAATTGATTTGCAAGTGATGACATATAACTTTTATATAATAAAATCATGCGAATAAAGATCAACAAGGCAAGGCAACGTTCTTCAAAAGGATCGTTCGATTTATGTTGTAAAATGTATAATTATATTTATAAGCAATTATATATTCGGGAAATAAATATGTTATAGACTAATTTGAAGGTCCTTTATGGACCTTATTCGTCCCGGCGTGCGGAATTCGTTGTGAATCAATATATACCAGTTATCTATACAGATGGGTTGACAGGCATCTACAAATATTGTTTTATAAATGCACATAATCAAATACATCTAAGAATATTGCTGCTATATATATTGATAAAAGAACCTAATGCAGTTTTATCTGCTTTTCGGTCAATTAATTTGCAATTTTATTTCTTCAACCGAACTTTATATTAACTTAAC